GTTGACACCAGACATTCATTATCAAAACAAAGAGGGGATGATACTTAACATTTATCTCTTTCTCTCTCTCTCTCTCTCTCTCTCTCTATATGTGTCTGTCTCTCTCTATATTTATGTTTAAAGCTAAAATAGCATACTGAAATCTTTAAAAGTTACATGAAAATGACACTAATTAAAGTTGTATCTGGTAAATTTTAATTATATGTATGAAATTATGTGGAAAATAAAAACCTGATACTTTAAAGAAAAAAAAATTAATTGAAGAGGAATAAAGCAACATAGTCAAATGTATCTAACCAGAAAAGGATTTCCTGATATTGTGATTACTCTGATGACAACAATCTAAATTAAAACTTTAAATCTTCTCTTTTAAAGATAAAATGTAATTAGCCCTTATAGAAATTACTAACATTGTGTAAAATGTTTTGAATAGTGTGCTAATTCTTTACCATTGCATCATGGAACATCAAGAGTACTAAAGTAATATAATAGTCATTATATAAAAATACTTTCAAATATATTAATATTTTTCATGAAAATGATTTCTCTTCTTCAGCACAGAAAAGTTATTATTTTAAGCAAAACCTTTATGTTTTTTAGGAAGCAATAAGAGAAAATATAATACTGAGCTATTATAATTAAAATCAGTAAAAAATATTAAGTATAAATAATCATAAAAGTAGCCTGTATTATCTTACAACAAATTGTGTATTTTCTGTCACTCTCATATCAGAAAAAGGATGATAATATTATTAATATTTTCATTATTTTTAAAAGGTGATCTAAAATGGTTTTGTGCATGATTTATGCATTAAAACACACGCAAAAAATATTAAAAAATAAAATTCAAACATTTCTGAAGAGACACAGTTGATGAACCAATGGAAATACATAAAATGAATACTGATAAAGTTTCAGTTATCATAGAAATGTCATTTCTTCGTACATGTACAGTTATAATTTAAATTATAACTTAGTTATAATTATATATAAATTATAATTTAGTTATATATAAATTATAAGTTACCATTTAAATTATAAAAATAAAATAATCTTAATAAATATCAGTTTTTTTCCAGAGATAGTCAAGTTTATTATAAAGTTCATACAGATAAATAAACAGGGAAGAAAAGCCAGTAAAACTCTGAAAAGGAAAGAAATGTAAGAGAACTATCCTTAACACCTATTAAAGCACATTATAAAGCTTCTCTAATGAAAACAGTGTAGTTTTGGCCCTGGCTGGTAGGGCTCAGTGGATTGAATGCTGGCCTGTGAACCTAAGGGTCACTGGTTCAATTCCCAGTCAGGGCACATGCCTGGGTTGCAGGCCAGGTCCCCACTGAGGGGCATGAGAGTGATAACTACACATTGATTCTCTCCCTCCCTTTCTCCTCCCTTCACCTCTGTCTAAAAATAAATAAATAAAAATCTTTAATAAAAGAGAAAACAGTGTAGTTTTGGTCTTAAAGACAGATTCAGTGGAATAATAGAGACAACCCAGAAATAACCCATATGGCAGTGTAGTCTATGACAATGTTGACATATCAAATCAGTGGGGATAAAATGAGCTTTAAAATAAATCTTGAAGAAACACAGCCATTTGGGTAAATGGAGGGAGGTATCATATTCTTAGATCAAAAGACTCAATAGCTCAATATTTCTAAGATGCTGGTTGCTCCCATATCAATATATAGTTTCAATACAATTCAAATAAAAGTCCTAGCAGGGGTATGTGTGTGTGTCTGTGTATCTGTGTATGTTTGGAAATCAACTAGCTGATTCTAAAACTCATGAAAGTGCAAAGGATCTAGAATAACCAAGAAAATCTTGAAGAACAGGGACATTTTGAATTTTGAAAGATTTATGTTATCACATATTCAGACTTGCCATATAGCTATCATAGTTAAGACAGCATGATACTAGTGCAAAGAGAGATGAATAGGCAACTGGAACTGAAGAGAGAGTACAGAAACAGACTTGTAAACCTACAGTCACTGGCTCTGGAAGAAAAGCGTCACTGGCTTTGGAAGAAAAGTGTCACTGCAATTCAATGAAGGAAAGGGTGCCTTTTCTATAAAAGGTGCTAGGGCGATTTGGTATACAGAAAATGAATTTGGTATGCATAAAATGAACCTTGACTCCTACATGTCATCAAATTTAAAATCATTGAGGTACCGTATTTTGCTGTGATAATGCACACTTTTTTTGCCCCAGTTTTTTAGGGAAAAGTAAGGATGCACATTATATGTGAGTATAATTATTACATACCATCGGTATAATAATGGGTATAATAATCCCATGTATAATGCACACAAAAACGTGGGTGCACATTATACATGGCAAAGTACAGTATGTATGAGAAAAAATAAACAATAATGCTTCTAGTAAAAAGAGGAATGTATCTTCATCACGTTATGCCTCAAGCTATTGAGATTATCACCAGTGCACAGTACCTAGATGTCAGCCTTTTGTGAGACCTGCCTTCAACTGAAGAGAGTCACCTGACCAAGGTCAAAAACTCCTTTCTAGGGCAGACTGCACCTAATGATGGACTGATGTGGGCAGCGGGGGACACGGGATGAAGGTGTAAAATCCTGGCCTCCTCATCCCAGATAGGGGCAACTCGGAAGAGCTATCCTAACTTCAGTGTTTGCCATGTTGTAGCTGAAACCCTTGTCTCCACCACCTCCCTCTGTTTATCTTGCTTCATTCTCTTCCCCTCGTGGTATAGACCATGAGAATATTCCCTAATAAACACCCTTCACAGAAACTGCTTCCCAGGAAAATAGTTTTGCCACAGTGACACTTAAAATACTTCAGAGTGAAACCTGAACAGATATTTTAAATTTTTATTTCATTATTTATTGATGCTTTACAGCTGTCTTCTGTTTAGGACAGTATTGAGTAGTTGCGTAAGAGCCCAAGTCCTACATTAAAACCCAAGCTCCAGCATATATTGTGGGTGTGACCTTGGACATGACTCCTACACATCTCAGTGTACTCTAACATGACAGTGTTAATAGATTCTATCTCATATGGTAGTGAGGGCTGAATCAATTACTATTTATAAAGTGCTTAAATAGTCTCTGGCAGAGTACATTGCTATTGCTCATGGCAAGTGGCATTGTTTTCCATTAAAATACTATTAAGTAAATTATCATACAGATGATACAAAGGTGGGCCAAAATTTGTGAAGGTGGCATATGAATAACTGAAATTTGGTGATATTTTTAAATGAAAATATTGAATAAAATAGAATATATATTAAGGATTAGGGATATGGAAAAGATTAACAAGGTTGATTATTTAAAAAAAATATAGATATATCTACAAAGTTGGATACTTTAAAATGTAGATATAAATATAAAACCAGAAATAGTTATCTACTGTTCTGTAAGAAATCCATTTTAAGAAAACTTGTATTCATCAGGGTAACAGGATTATTCAATCAGTAACTGATGAACATTAAAAATCGTTTGTCTAGTAATTGTTTCACCTAGATGACAAAAGGATTTCAGAAGCAAAATAACTTACTTCTTTATTCACTTTTCAGAAATATATTTCCTACCATGTCCTGGCAGAGTGCTAGGTCTTGTTTCCTATAAAACAAATCCTTCTTTGTGTTTAACTATTTTCACCTATACAAAATAATACTAATAACCCATACTTGTATATACTATTAGAGTTTAGATTTATTCACAAACACAATTGGATTTGTTCTTCAAAAAAAATATCCTACTAGGTAAAACTGAATTTTATTCTTTATACTGTCCAAAATGGGCTCTAGAAAGTACAGAAAATAGCTCAGACTAACACAGTTTTCCACATTGCAGTCAAAACCAGAACACAGACTCTCAGACCCGAAAGCCTAATAACCAATGCCTGTATCATCTTGGCTGCCCTTCCGAAGGAGCTAGGTCTAACTTTATACATATGTAGATTTGTAAAGCAGCACCTGTTCTCTAGTGCTACAGTATGCTATATAATAAATGAGGCCAAAAACCCACTTAGGTGGCTACCATTTAAATCAACATCTTTTTAAATATTAATGACCTTGAGCATAGTTTCAATCATTCTGTGGCCATCTGTACTTCTTTTGTGAACTGTTGCTCATAGTCCTTTTAATGTATTGCAAAGAAATACAAAACGAAGACCTTGAAGTCATGCATAACAAGTTCAGCTTTGCCATTAAGCAACTGTTTCGATTTTGTGTAAGTTAATGCTTCTGAATTGCAATCTCCTTGATTCAATAAGAATAATAATACCTACACTATGGAGCTGTGAATTAATGAGATTTAGAATGCTGACAGAAATGACTACAGTAAATATAAAAGAAAGGCACAAACCCATTTATATTGGCATGTTAGTAGTGGTTACTGATTTTGGGTAGGATATTTGTATGAATTATGTTAAGACAAATTTGTATTTTATTATATATACATAACTATTATTATATTTTTGTAATTAAAATATTACTTTAAAATATTATTTTAAGCAAATTCATATTTTGGGGGCTTTTGATTTTTAAGCAACCTAATTATTTATTATGCCTCAGGATTTTTTCCTACTCATCAATATGCAGGTGGGATGGATAATTAATATAAGTAAAGATACATGTACACCCTGGAATAATTTTTCAGGGAATAATTAGCTTTGTAAAGATGCAACTATTTTTCATGAGAAATTTTAGTACACTAGTTGTGTGTAATCTTCCAAAAGCATCTTTGGCTCTCACACTTATGTATTATGTAGCATAACATTGAACTATTTTGCAAGTTGTATTTATATAGTATGAAATGAAAAACAGCAAAGATATAATAAATATACATAAATGTTATACTATCCATGTTTTTTCTGTCAATTTACTAAACTTTGTGTCAAAATGTTTAATTTGTACATTTACTTTTTATCCAGTATTTATAAAGACAATAGACAGATTTCATCATCTCTAAAATGTGTTAGCATATAGACTGACAGAATGGAAGGTAAAAATCCAGTACCTTTTGTGCGACTCAAACCAAGCCTGAAGACAGAAGTCTCAATGAGGAAGCTGTCGCACTTAATGCCAAGGGACAGATTCTTGGGCATATTCCGACCTAATAAAAATATAAAGAGGTATTACAGTTCAATGTCACATTTAAGAGAAAAAAAAATCAGTGAAGATTGAAATAGACTCAAAACTCTACTCCAATGGGAAATTTCTTAGATGATTATTTTTCAAAATACATTTTAAGGTGAGATTTAAATAGCACTCTTGAAAACTATACCCAACATTATATACGGTTTTCTCTGTAATATTTAACATTATAAAATCAGCTCATAAATATTTGGGATTTTAATTTAAACCACTCAGATAAGAGATAATACTGAGATCCTGTTTGAGCCAACAATCTAAATTTGGATTGTAGTACTTAACTTTACATATGCATAAATATACATTTATGCAATATTAACAATAATATAAACCAATAAATACAAAAATCAGTCAATTATCCAAAACATACTTACTGGCTGAATAAAAGGTAATTGCTTTTAGTCTTATGCTACCATGTATAAAAGATACAAATCTCTGTCAGCATAGACACTTATAACTTTAAGTACATTAAACTAGATATCAGCTGATGCTATCCTCGTAAAGGAATGGGAGTGTATAATGTTCAACTCTCATAAAGGGAATTTTGTAACAGGTAGTAAAACAGTATATATATTTACCATTTTACCCATCAACACCACTTGTGGAAATATATCTTAAAATATATAGCTCAAACATGAAACAATATACACTGAGGTGTTATTCATATTGAAAATTATTAGAAATAATGAAAAGGTCCATGTACTGGAGACTAGTTGTATATAAACAATAGCGCAGCAAAAAATCAAGGATACTAAAATCATAAAAATCAATGACAAAGGTGTCCATTAATTATTTCCCTGAGATTCCAGACATATTATTATGCGAAGTTAGCAAGATACAAAAGAAATTATATAGTATTCTGCCTTTGCATGAGATAGAGGATGAAACAGAACTATGTGTATGTGTATACATTTATTCAAATACGCTAATTTTTGCAAACACAAACACTGTGGATAAGTCAGAATCAAATGAAGATAGTCATGCATACAGTTGGTTTGAGAATGTGGTGAGCAGTATAGGTATGAAGATGGGATTTGTTTAACTAGAACTTTTTACATAGCTCTGAGGTTTGAACAATGCATGTTCGCAAATTCAAAAATTAATATAAATTTTAAAAGTTTGAAAAAGCAAGCCTTAAAAGTGAATTTAAATTAAAACATGAGGAATCCATCTTTGTATACATTGACAACTAAACTACATAGAATAAAGAATTAATTAAAGAATATTTTGGCCATAGTTTCCTGACTGTTCTGAGGTAGCGAAATACATTCTAGGAGGAAAAAGTAACTGCAAAGATATCTTTAAATATTTAGTAGTTTTTGGTTTCCTCCCTCCCTCCCTCCCTCTCTTCCTTCTCTCCTAGCAAATGAACACTGAATTGATGTTCCAGGAACCAGATTTTTCATGTGGGAGAAGAGAGAGTGAGGCAAGTTGAGGAAAAACCCTGTGGTGTAGGGCATGAATGGGAGGCATCAGTATTAAATACTTTTTAATAATTAATATTTCTTTGCTCTGTCCACTGCGAGACATCCCAGCAGCAATGAACATGTCTGGTGCCCATATTGTAGACACTAAATTCCTTGTCTCTATAAAGTGTGCCTTGGAAAAATGCCTAATTTGAGCTTTATAGCAAGTTAAGGGAGAGATCACTGGAACATCCTGTTGTGCCACAAAGTAATGAAATGTTCAAAAACTAATGGAGACAATTCAAAGGATTTAGGGATTGACTTGTAAAAGATCCTACTGGCCAAATTTGAGGATATCCAAAAGAAGAATAATTAATTTTTTAAAAACCCATGAAAATAAAGTAGCCCCATTCCCCCTAGGCCCTCCCCATTATAACTAGAAATTGCCAGACAGCATGGACAAGCATGAGGAAACTGAAATGTGGAAAGGAGAAGGCAGCCTGCTTAGACCTTAGAACTTGAGGAATGACATAGTGGTGAGCTCCCAGGTTTCCATAGTGCCTCCCATATACACTGGACAAGGCACTGCAGAACCCCCCTACTCAGGTCAGGAAACAGAGGAGTCAAAGAAAAGTGGGAGAAGGGTGGGAGAAGGGGCTTTCTTCTAGCACTTGCTTGGTAGAAACAGGCAGCATTCCAATTCTCTTGTTGGGGTAGCAGGCGGAGGGTAAAGGTAGGGTAGAGCTGATGGATGGAAGGAAGGAAGGAAGGAAATAAACAAGTGAATAAGCAAGCAAGTAAATAAATATATAATAAAGCATGGTCCGACAATGTTCTGTCTACAAAAAACTTTTTCAAATTTAATGACATAGGAAATTTGAAAGAAAAAAGATGCACCATATAAATGTTAATTAAAAAAGAAATTGTTGCATTAATATCATATAAAGAAAACTTCCGAGAAAAGAAAATTACTAGAGACAAAGAAGAGAATTATATATTGACACACCAGGAAGACACACAATCCTAATGCGGCTATAACAGGCAAGAGCCTCCACTTACATAAAGCAAAAATCCATAGAGCTGAAAGAAGAAATAAACAAATGCATTGTCACAGTTGTGTGCTTTAACAACCCCCTCTCAGCAGTTGAGAAGCCTTCTAGTCAGAATATCTGCAAGGATATAGAAGTCCCAAATAACAAAATTAAGTGACAGAATTTAAATAATATATGTAGAAGAATACTCCACAAAACAGCAGGATACCTATCTGTTTCAAGCTCCTATGGGACATTGAGCAAGACAGACCATACCCTGGGTCATAAAACAAACCTCAACAAATCAAAGTAAGCTAAATCCTACAGATTGTGTTCCTCTGACCAGAGGGAATCAATAACAGAAAGACAAAGGGAAGAAAGGAATAGTCCTGAGCTGTCTGTCGCCAGTCTGCCCTGACACTGCTCTTTAAATACGTTCTCAAAACCAATAAAAATTGGCTATAATTCAAAAACTCAGCAAATGAGTTCAATTGCCCTCACTGCAAGAGTAAAAAGGAAAAGGGCTGAGAGATTATTCTTTTCTGTTGATGCAAGAGCTGTGGATTTGTCAAAATATTAGCTCTGGTTCTTTTAAATTGCTTGTAAAATCCCTAAGGTCCTACTAGATCAGAAGACAGAGAAATCCACAGAAGAGATAAATACCCGTCATTTCTGTTAATGTTTTGTTTTGTTTTTGTTTTTCCAAACTGAGGAACATTCATTACCCAGAAATACAGTGATAATCATACTTTTTTACTGATTTTTTAAAAAAGAGATTATATTTATTTTATTTTTAGAAAGGGGAAGGGAGGGAGAGAGGGAGAGGAACATCAATATGTGGTCGCCCCTTGCACACCCTGTACCGGGGACCTGGCCCGCAACCCAGGTGTGTGCCCTGACTGGGAGTTGAACCAGTGACCCTTTGGTTTGCAGGCCGATGCTCAGTCCACTGAGCCACACAAGCCAGGGCACTTTTTTATTGATTTTCAGAAAGAGAGGAAGGGAGGAAGGGAGAGAAGGTGGGAGGGGGAAAAAGAGAGAGAGAGAGAGAGAGAGAGAGAGAGAGAGGCTGGCAGACAGGCAGACAGACAGACAGACATGGATGTGTTGCTCCACTTATTTACGCATTCATTGGTTGATTTTTGTATGTGCCCTGCCTGACTAGCAGATCGAACCTGCAACCTTGGCATATCAGGATAATACTCTAACCAACTTAGCTACCAGGCCAGGACAAGAATGACACTTTTATACAAAGGGATCAAGTAGTCTTCCCTGAATAAAGAGTGGGCCATTAGACAACATTCGTTCAGTGATCAAAGAATTGTACAATCACTAGCTAGAAGCAACTATACATATGACCTTGTACATCCCTCAGTGTGTTAGGAGATAGAGAAGACCCCCAAAAGAAGTTCCTTGCCCAGGGTTACAAAGCTTGTGTCTTCTCAAGTTAGATCCCTACACATTTTATATATTGAATGTTCTATAGTCAAATGTGATATTGTGATAGGTATTTGAAAACCAGAAAAGCTGAGATGTAAAAGATTAAAAAAAATGATCCGTGAGTAAATACTCATACTAAAAATAAAAAAGGAGTTAAGGGAAGGGGAGGAAAAAGGTTGCTCTCTCTCAGTTATACATATATACATATATATACACACATATGTATGTATATGTATGTATATATATATATTCCAGCTAATAAAATCAGCGAGGATAATAGACCTAATTGATACTGAGAGGAAAACGGAAAGGATACCAAAACCATCAAGGAAAGGTTGTAAATAAGGAGTTTATTCACATTGTCTCAAATCAGCATCCCCTCAAGTTATTTATTGTTGGTTACATGAGGAAAAAGATGACCTTTACCATATAACGAACAGTCTGGCAGACATGGCTATAACCAAGTGATTAAACTTAGTATCCCCAATAATGGAACTAACATTTTGTGCCTCCTGATGTATTACAATGATAAGTATACAGTGCCTCTTATGTGATATTCTTACCAAAATGTTCAGTTTGAACTGAATAATGAAGAAACAATCAAGGACACCTTCAATGTGCAATATTCTATAAGACAACTGGCCGGGACCCTTAAAAATGCCAATATCATTAAAGACAGAATAAGGTCTTATATGACAGAATATAAGACAGAATAAAGTCTTAATCTTTAATAAGGTTAAATGAGATTTAAGAAATCGGATAACAAAATGCAGTGCATAATCCTTGATTGGAAACTGGATTGGAAAAAAGAGAAAGTAAGATATAAAGACTGTTATATATGTGATACTTCAACTTCCCTATCTACCAATCTCAAATGTCCCAATACTATTTATTTATTCATTCAGATATTGAAATAGCTGATTGTGTGAATTTGGGAGAGATTTGGAGAGTGTGGGACTTTTTTTTATACCTATTTATCTCTCTTTTTATGTATAAAGTTATGTGCACGCTGAGTGGCAATATACAATGATCACTACATATTTAACATTGATATTTATTCAACTCTGGAGGTACTGTACTCAAGATTTAGAGGGCTTCCAGGGATAAGACTTACATAAGCTAGTTGTAACATGTAAAATCAAATGCACTAAGTGGTGCCACTTGATGTCCTATAGCTGTGATTAACTTGTAACTAGGCTATATTGTTTGCTTTATTATTTTACTGCTAGTGAACACTTTGGTCATAATTAACTGAGTAAACAACTGAATATAGTACTTCGTTTACATTTATCAACCGACAAAATGAATGTTGATATTTGTAAAACTAACACACTGTGTTGATTGGTATAAACACCTTTATTTTAACTGTTATTTTGTTTTGCTCTTCCATAAAACTACACAATGCAATATACAGATGATGTATTAGTAGAATTGTACACGTGAAACCTATATAATCTTATTAACCAATGCCACCCCATTAAATTTTTAAAGAACTACTGATGTCTGGAAAAGAAACCACTTATATTTAAACATTTGAACAATTCACTAATATCATATTTAGTGAATATAATGGATTTAGTGAAATTTGGATTAAGTAAAAAGATTGAATAATTTCAAGACTATAGCTACTTTAATATAAAAGTAATCAAAATAGCTACTTTGCATGCATCAATTATCACTTCGTTCATTCATGCAATTTTCAGGTATATAATCCATAGTGATATTTTACATGTAGAATATACATGAAAATCAAAATATAATGTGTATATGTATGTATATTACAAATATAAGGTAGTTTTCAGATGTGCATGTGACAGTTTTCAGCACAAAATAGATGCTCATTAAATAGTCAGCGACTGAATGAATATTCACCTCCTGCTTTATAAACACATATGCCAACACTGAAATACTCATTGAGGTTGGAATAAAGCTGTGAGTCAATGTAACCGCTGCCATGGACAAGCACACAAATTAGCAGGTTTGGAATACGGTTATATCAGCAAGAGTACACACATACGTATAATGGGGATGTGTCTTAAAATCTTAATGTGCACAGCAGGCCCTAATTTCTAATGTTTCAACTCAGCTCTTTGCTTCCCATTCATGACTACCTTCCCTTGTTCCACCTTCACTTCTGGCCAAGCAGGGTGGAAACCTGAGAGCTGAGAGCTGGGGTGGAGGGTATAATTACTGATGAGAGAGGATTGTGGAAAAGGGTTCAGGGATACCAGTCAGTGTTCCAGGATACGTGTCCACGCTGAACAAGGAGGCCCAGAGGGGAAATCTTAAGTATGTGTGGATTGGGGGATAACCCAGTATGACAGTTGGATGGTCCTGGACAAGACAGACGTGGCGAGTCCAAGGCCCTGTTCCACCACTTATTCATTACACAGGGTAGGGCAAAAGTAGGTGTGCAGTTGTTCGCATGGAAAATGATACAATAATGAATAAATAATCATACAAGAATAAACTCTGTGTTTTGCATACTCACAACTGTAAACCTCCTCTTGTCCCACCTTGTATGGCTTTGGGAAATTTCTAAGCCTCAGGTTCTACATCTGGAAAGCCTCCAAGATTTTTTTTTTTTAAGATTGGGTACGGTCATGTTTACAGAGCACAAGTGTGGTACATGTTGGGTGCAAAACTAATCCTAGTTTCTTAGGCTGTTGGAGGGCTTTTCTGCAGCAATATGCTACTCTTGGGACTCACTCATGGTCTGCTTTGGGACAGCTCTGCCAGTCTCCAGGTGTGAGGCCATCTCCTCTCTAGCCACCCTATCTCGTTCATCTTTGGAAGTTGGCATGGACTAAGAGATAAATAGACAGCTGAAATAAAATCTTTCAACACCCTGCTTTGCATACTGAAAGAACTTTATGGAGAGACAACACACAATAGAATTAAAGAATTGAACATAATTTAATTAAATGGAATTAAAGTATTCTTTGAAAATCAAAGGGCAGGGCACTATTTCTGAGAGAAGTGATTAAAGTGGGATAGCCAACAAAGCAGCAGAAGAAAAAATGTTAGGGAATAGGGCAATATGAGAGTGTGATCATAAGTTTCCAACTCTAAAAATGTTGCCTTCTTGGCAAAAACTAGTAAATTTTGAAAGCTATCTTTCTCTCTCTCTTTCTGTCTGTTTATCTGAAGAGAAATTAAAAATGCAGGATCTGAAATACTGTGAGATCTCTCATCCTCAGCCATCACGCTCTTCGTGTTATATTATGAGTCTTGCCATCAACTTCCTTAAGGGGACTCTGTGAATTCTATAGCATCTGCAGGGACACTTACATCTTCTTTTGAAAGATACAAAGGGACTGCCCCTATCAAGAAGTAATTTTAAGACATTTACAAGTCTTTAAATGAGAAAGCATTACTTTAGTACCTTTTAAATGAGTACATTTGGCATAGAGGTTAAATATGTTTATTCCTCTTGTCAGTCATGTTCCCCTGTGGCCCTACAACAATTCAGGCCAATGATGAGGCTTAGTGGCCAGGGGACATGAGTACAAGAAGATGTGTACCTGGTGGCTAGAAAAAAAGAGTCCACAAAAGGAAAAAGGAGGGGGTTATGACACAGAAAGAGACTTCATTGCCAAGCAAAGGAAAAGGTGAATCTTTTCACACAGGAAAGGGAGAAAGTGGAAGAGAGGAAGATTAGGTCAGTATCTTTCTTCCTCCCTAGTCTCCTCAGGTTGGAGGGTGAAGGGGAAGAAGCTGGGAGTCTGAGCATTTTACCCAAGAGAGTGAGCTTCCTTAAATGAGACTGTTTTAAACTGCAAAGGAATAATAACTCTTAATTGTCAAGCTTCCTGTTTTCCCTGTTAATAGCAGGAAGAAGTTTGGACCAACTAAAGAAAATTAAGTCATTATTTATTTCACATTTTATTTCTAATGTTTAAAATCTTGATCCAATATGTTTTCATAACACTCTCATAGTCATGATTTGGCTTCACCGACCCTGGAAATTTCATTCCCTGGTGTGATCCATCCATCAGCCTCACGTGCTCTCACACCAGTAATTCTGAGACCTATGACCAGTAGAAACTTCACAAACACATTTTTTTGGGGGCGCTTACATAAATGGGTGGTTTGTGATCCCAGCCAAATACAACACAGTTATATTTGACTTTTCAGCTGTGTCTTCCTTTCCCCCTAACAGATGTTCCAAAGCACTGTTCCACCCTCAAATCTCCTACTTTATCTCCTCTTCTCAGCAGATGAAAATCTAAACAAAACTGCTCTCAATTGCCAAGCCCCTCAACTACCTACCAATTTGTCTACACACACATTTGTTTCATCCTGCCCCTCCTATTCAGAGCTCTTCCTTCTACCTCAACTCTGATCCCTGTCCTCCCAGAGCCTTAGCCTATCAGTTAAGCCCTACCTCCTTTACAGCTTCCACTGCTGCTCAGTTCTGGCTTATCTCTCTTGCTGAGGTCTCTTCCAGATTCAAATGCTGACTTCCTTGAGCCAGCAATCAATCTTTAGTAACTACTGATAGGTTTCTCCTCACCACAGCCGAAGTATTCATAAGGGACCTTTACCTACTTAATTTTTCTTATCTCATACCAAGAGCATGAGGACATGATCAGGAAAGATGAAAACTCCAACAGGTAAGTGATAGTGTTCAGCTTCAGCGTTAAACCAAAAAAATAGTAGACTTCTAACGATGATAAAATACTATTTTTATCCGATTGGATTGATGGCGATTAAGGAGAATGCTACTAGGCTGGGAATGCTACTAGGAGAATGCTACTAAGACTCAGGAAAATAGGTAATGTCTGTAATATACTCCTGAAGGCACCATGAATTGCAATAACATAACCATTCTGGAGAGTAAGTTGCTTACTTATATCAAAAACCTTAACATATGTGTTCCTTTTATCCCAACATTTGACCTATATAAAATGGATCATAGCTGTAGTAGTTTTAGTAGAAGCAGTAATAATAGTTGAAATGATAAAATTGGTAATGTCTAATACCCGATTTAAAATGTTTGACAAAACTCATAACAGCTGATTTCTATTTCAGACCCACATTATTTACCATTTAATAAAAAGTGACAAAAAATTCCAAATCATTGAATTTAAAAACATGAACTGCATCTTCAATATGATAGGAAAAAAAGGAATGAGCTTGATTGCAGCCAAAATTTAATCCAAATCTAAATATGCTATTTATAAAGAAAATGGGGAAAGGAAACACTATCAGAACACTAGACTTTCTATAAACTGTTAAGGAATAAGTGTTGGCATATTTGAATAATAATCATTAGAATCTTACAAATCTGCTAATTTAGATTTTTGGCTTTATAGATAAAATTAAAAGAACTTGAGATGTTACACAGATTTCCAATTTTTGATTCTGGCTCCACCATTTACATGTTGTGATTTCAGTCAAGATACCTCATCTTTCACACCTTATGTTTCCTTATGTTTTTTCTTTTATAAAATGATGCTGTTAAGCTAATGGATCTCTAACATGTCCACCACCTCTATAATACATCGAGTCTATGATAAAAAAGAGTTTGATTAATAATTTTAAAATAACATAGGTAAAGTATAAGAAAAACAACTTACTTGTTAGTATGACATTGATAAAAACATCTTCCTCAGTAGGATTTTCGAAAAGTATAACAGTAGTTGCTACTTGATTAAGGAATGTGGTCATTCTTTCTACTTCAAGAGGCTGGGGGAATAGTCCTACTCCAGAAAGGTAGAACTTCCATTCTTCAAACTGTTTAAAGATAAACATTCATAACATATATGTCACAATTTTATACATTTTATTTGCACTTAATAAATGCAATCCATGTAAAAATTTTGGCAGATAAAAAAAGTTTGGTTGTTAATATTTAACACGCCCTGTTTTATCTTTTCTTCCTTTTCCAAATTCCTTTTGATTTTATTTTGAAAAAAATCAATCAATCAATGTTTCTTCACTGATAAAAAGGAAAGCACAAGAGCAATATTCAAGTACTCAACAGATTTCAATGCTTATAAGGTTATTTATAGCAGCATTAAAAAGACATCTTAATTAAAACCTTGCATTTATGCTTGAGGATTTTTTTAAAAGACAACTTGTCTAACAAAGTGGCTACTATAAACTGCATGAAGTTTCCAAAATCCTAGAGCGAATTTCAAGTGAAATTCATATAGTTATCACTATCGCATGAAGGCAAAGAAGGTGAGGCAGAGGTTAACGTCCCATTACAGGGCAGTGTGTACAACTATATGCCATATTATTGATCCCCACCATGTAGGACACTGTATATTCTGTTATCACATGATAGGAAATCATGGCTCAAAAACTAAGTGAAGGAGACTGAATGTGGCCATTGTTCATATCCATGTTTCATAAGCCTGCAAAGCTGTTTGAAACGTTCTCTTTGTATACATTTAGAATAAAAGTCCCCCAAGGGTGCAATAGACTGCGACTCAGTTCGGCACTGAATACTTTACTAATGTTGTAAATAAATGAAGAGGTCATTATATAAAAACCAACAAATGCAACAGCCTACTTTATAATCTCTCAAACTACACAGATGTTTCCAAGCCTAAAATCCAGTAAGAGGAGGGAACTTGCTTTAAGATTGTTTCAAAGTGGAATGGGCAGTGATAGGAAATGCATACAATGCTGTCTCTGAGGAGGGAGAAATAAAGGCAAGTTTATCTGCATATTATCTTCAAATGACTGCATTACTTTTAGTAAGAGATTTTACTTGAATAATATAAGTTCACTGTATTTTCACTTATGTTGCCCTAATTTAATTACATGTAATTGGCTGACAGGGTTCAATTAAATTAAGAACTGTTTTATGTAAATTACTTACATTTTGGCTACTTAATTAAATTAATCCTGGATGACAGAAATAAGGTCACTTTGAACCATTGGGAATGAGCCCAAGTACGAAAACCAGAAGGTCATGCTTTCATGTTTTTGCCAAATGTCCTGGAATACTAGTGCTTCTAAGTTAAACCACGTACATCCCACCATTATGGGGACACTAGTAAACAACACTTTCCCTGGCATTGCTTAAATTATCCTCGGGTTCAGAGAGAGAAATTTTAAAGTATCCTAAAAAATGTGCATTAAAAAATAAGCAGCCGCTCTCTCTATGGAACAGACCTATGCTTACCCCACCCCCTTTCCTGCAAGCACTTTTTCCTTGCCTGTCTCTTTCTCCGAAGCTCGAAGGGCCCTTCTTTTGCCTCTAACTCGTTTCTTGAGCCCATTTCTTCTACAGCTCACTTTTTCTGCCTCTGTGACTTTCTAAAAATAACATTTTTAAGCCCATCTTTATCTCAAACTTCTTTGAAAGGAGACAGAGTCAGAAAAAAAAACCCCCAAAAACCTTTATAGATCCAATTCCAGTGTTTCTGAAAGATAAAACAAGTGGAAGTAAAAGATAGTAAAACTGGCTTGCATGCTGAGCAGAGCTCCAGGGCATGAGAGCTGGCTAAGAATCAACAAAGTTTGCCATAGACACAGGCTGCAGGATCACAGATGCATGCTGGGTAATAAAACCACTCTTTGTCTTCTTGCCTTCATTTTTGCTATTCTGACCTTTCAATGCAGCGAGTCACACAATAGAGTACACAAGGAATAAATAATGGCAACTATTTGAAAATAAAAATGAAACAACTGAAAACCAAGAAAAAAAATCTTAGAAGGCCCGATTACCATATTTGCTGCTTCCTACTATTCTTATAGGCAGTTAACACAATCTCATTTACAGAATCTGGTACCATAATATGAGCTCAGGATATATGTAGTTGTGCTATCCTAACCCAATTAATCTTAGGATTCAAAATATGCACCAACAACTTTAACCTAAATTTAGTTGGATTTTTATAATGCAGAGCTCTGTGCTTGCATCCAAATCAGAAACCCACGAAATAAATTAAAAACTGCAGCGATTTCCTTAAGTTCAGCAGAGAAACAATCAGAAGTAGTTAAAGCTTATCCTGTAATAACTGTCATACCAGATTTTATATAAATCAGCTACTCAGTTGTAAACATCAGTTCAAATATACAGGGTCTGGCAGAAGTAATGCCTGCTTGAGGGTGGTTGGTAGGGTAATAATATGGGTGTAATAATTTATAGTTTTAATGTAAACATTTCCTCTAAAATGTCATAGGGTGTGCTTGACTATGATACTGTTATGATACAGAATTACATGCCTATGATTTTGTAATAAAAGATTTTGTAATAAAAAGGGGCATTATTTGTAGGAGACCCTGTATTGCTCAGTGAAAATCAATAGAAGGACAGAAATCCATATGAGTTTTTCCCTAACGGTAAAAGATATTGCAATCTCTTAGCCTTAGAAAAGTAAACCCTAAAATTTTATTTTAAAAACTATCTTCTTCAGATGCCTACACACATATTATATATACTGCATTTTTTTTATTTTATTTATTTTTAGAGAGGGGGAGGGAGGGAGAAAGAGAGGGAAAGAGACATCAATGTGTGGTTACCCTTTGTGCGCCCCCTACCAGGGACCTGGCCTGCAACCCAGGCACGTGTCCTGACTGGGAATCGAACTGATAACCCTTTGGTTCACAGGCTGGCGCTCAATCCATGGAGCCACACCAGCCAGGGCTGTATGCTGTATTTTCAAAAGCTCATTCAATGACTACTTTAGGATGAGTAAGTTTTGCTTACACAGAATAGTGACTGGATGAATTAAATAAAAAAGGAAGGCCCAAATGATTCAGAGATGAAAAAATAAAGGCAAAAAAAGAAAAAGGAAAGACAAAAACATCAGAAAGGTTAGGGTAATACATTAAAAAGGTTGAAGGAGTCTGGACCCTTGTTGGTTAAAGGATGAATGAATGATTGGTTTGAGGTCTAACCACAGATGAAGCCTTGGAGATCTGCTACAACGTGGAAGGAGAAGCTTAGAGTGACTGAAATCCAGCAACAATGCAAAACTGATTTATAAAAGGTTTGAGTTGATTATTACTTGTTTGAGTTATTTACGTCCGATTAAGAATTTCACATTCAACGCATGCGCATGCGCTAGGACTTTCTAAAGCTATTATGATGGAGAACTGGTAATTGCCCTGCTAAGGTGCCACATTATCCTTGAGTAGATATAATTTCCATCTGAAATGCAAGCAACTAAATTGTCCCCAATAATTACGATGAAGGGGCTAATCCTCTTATGAAGCAACGATTTAAAAGTGTGCCTTGCTGAAATTATTTCTGTAAAAGAATATGATCTACACTGTATGAAAAGGACTACTATTTGTTTTCCTTTAATGTTTTTGGGGCATGCATACCTCCATAGTATTGTTTCAGGTCATGTATAAGACAGTAATCATGTAGGAAGTTTAATAACTTCAATTTTTTTTCTAAAGGTGAATTACACATTGTGTTCTAATTACACCTTAGAAAAGAGGACATCTTAATCACCCGCAAGTCTTGTACTGACAATTGGACCCCTATATTATATGTGATTCCACCGCCTCTCAAATGGCAGGCTCCTTGGTGCCCTTAGGATTTAAAGTTCCTAACTCTACTTACTTTCCTCCCCATGAACACTTGAAAAATGGCAACATAATAATAAATGTAAAAAGTTCTGTAAAATTTTCATCAGTGCTAAGAGAGTTATAATCAATTGGCAATCTGTAGGTAGCTGTAAAAATAGTGATGGAAATGGGTTGAAGCCAGGCGTGCTGGGTTCGGGTCTGCGTTCAACCTCTTACAAGCAACCTGTGCAAGCAACCTGATCTTCATTTCTGTATCTCAGTTTCCTGATCTGTAAAATGGGCTTGATAATCCTTTTACCTTAGGTCTGTGGTGAAAATGAACTGAGATAATTCTAAGAATGGCATGCAGCAAGCTTAGAGATGCTTAAAAAGTGATTGACTATTGTTGTTTTTAAAAATTATTATTATTCAAGAATGCTGCACAGATGAAATAGAGTGAAAAAGTAACATATTTGCAAGATCACATTTTCTGCAATTTGTATTTAAGTTCATGAAAATTTGCATAGTGAAACCCAAGTCAGAAAATTAACATAAATGCCAGCAATTTGGCATTTACATTAAAATACATATGTTTTAAAATCTGAGTATATATTTTCCTTCATTCAAGCAATCTAAGGACTTAAAAATGCCTTTTTTGATGCCCACACATGCACAATGCATAGTAAATTTCCAAAAGTGCATTTAATTAAGTTTACAATAAGCTTGTTCTGCTTGCAAAATATGTCAACTGGATGAATAAAATTTACTTATTTGTTGACTTTAAAATTTAATTAACTTAACTTGGTCTAAGAATACTGTATCATACCTGCTCACAGTAGAAATTAATACAACCTTGTTGACCAGTTCTGCCAAGAACAGAAGGACGAAAGCGAATAGGTATGTTTTCAGTAAAGTAAGGCGGTATAGTCAGCTGTGTACATTCACACAGAAGAAAAAGAGAAACAAAACAATCAGTAATTTTGGTTGAGTCAGCATCTTTGTATACTATGTATATGCTGGGTTGATGTTTGTGTGACTAATGTGTTGTCTTGTACACTCATCCAGTCTCAGTGTGCTTGCTTGATGAATTTTGGGTAAAACAGCTGGTGGTAAACAGTGTTTAGTAGCCCTTGCCATGTCGTTTCCCCAGAGAATGACCACATGGAGTTAGTCACTCTATATAAGGAAATCAAAAATAATTTTTTAATCTGAGTTTCAGCCTCCCATAACAGAGATATGGATTTTATTTAAGAATTACACATTATTGTTCATTCTAAGACACAAGGCAAATGCTGGGAACCTAATGTATAGCCTTGGTGATGTCAAAAGAAATGAACTGATTCTAGGCATAGATGTAAGTCATGCTCTTGAGTGTAACATGAAGTTTTCCTCCCTGTCCTATCACATACACACTCAAGGTGTAACTTGCTGGAATAACTTGATTCTGAACAATATTAGTTTGTTACTTCTTTAGAAGTCTGAGCCAGCAACTTCATGGCAATATACTGAGAGCCTGAGTATCCCATGTAATGAAAACGGTAAACTGTGAATAATAAAATATTCACTATCAACACATATAGAACAATAGAATGAGTGGTACATATCTAAAAAACACATCAATTATTTTTCACTAAGTAATTTTGCCAGATAACTTTTGAAAAAGTAAAATTGCAATTTTGCAGTGTCATTCAATCCTTGTTAAATATAACACTGGTTTCTCAATAATCTCAGGTGACAACGAAATATAAATACAGACTTAATTTTATATTTAGAACTGCATTACATCTTTATTATGTATGTGTGGTTTATCTACAGCAAATATTTTTATCTCAGACTGGTTCTCTGATACCTTGAATATCTTGAGGTTATTAGTTAATGTACACTTAAGAAGTATAAATTAATTTCAGTAAAAATCTTAAAGAAAAGTTGCATTTCATATATTCTTTAAATTTAGCAAATATGAAAAAAGTTTCTCTATAGAGGAAGGACATACATATATATGAAGTAAGTAATATATTTCATTGGAAAACACATATAATACTACATTAAATTTGATTTTAATTTTAGTACTACCACTTACTACCATTTATATATTTGATAAATGTATAAAAGGATGGAATAAAAGACATAGTTGGAAATATTAAAGCAGAGTCCATATTCTTCATTATGTAATATAAGTTGGCATCTGCAATATATTGCATTTATTTTCCTTTGGACCACAATTTACATTCTTCTGTAGAAGGAGTGATATAAAGGAATATGAGAAATTTCAGTTATATGTAAACTATATCCTGAATGTAACATTTCATTTTAATTTATGGAAAATATAGTGTTAAGTAATTTGTATATCCTTTAACAAAACTTTTTAAAGATTACACTATATATATATCAATTTTAACAATATAATAGTGATATCTAATTTGACACATGGCAGTTAATAATTTAGTATCATGATATCGTTAGTTAGCAATGAGTGACTGAGAAGAGACAGGTATTAAGATATAAATAAAGAAATCACATTGTCGATAGTTTAGCAATCCTTAAGAGGCAAATAGTAAAAGCCTTTATTTGAATACCTATCTATTAGTAGGGCTTCATGATTTATTGTGAGGTTCTGTGAAGAGAATAATCTACTGCATTTGTTATTTTGAAATTTACCTGAAAGCATGGTTTTGACATTCACTGACAATGGATACATGCTTTGGAAGCATAGATACTGACACTGAACCTTCACATCTTTCATTGTTAGTGGTGGAGGAGCAAAGCGACTGAGGGCCATTGACAGCCTCTACTCCCTGCTAGGGACCAAGGAGCGAGAAAATGGGGCTGAGAGAGGAGGAAGGAGCGGCAGAGCAGTCAGCACTGCCTGGAAATGGGGCAGAGCGGTGGGCAGGGACTCATGAAGGGCTGGAAAAGAGCTGGCCTCTCGGGACTCTGGACACACAGAACGACTGTTCAGTCAAAATCATGTTCCTGGGAACCTACTGCAAAAAAATGATTACCAAGTGGTCAGAAATAAAGCAGAATTTATGTAGAATTTAGTGATCATGACCATGAACCTAGAATATATAATTTCAAAAAACTATATGAACATTATGTTTGTGGTTTTTGAGAGATTAAAGTTGGAGATACAGATTATAATTATATAAATTCCATTTTTAAATTTTAGACATTTGAACCCTTATTAATAATTGAAATGCTAACATTCCACAATGTCCCAAAATCAGAATTAGAAAATACTCTGGTAGTGATAGGATACTTGGCTTTCTGAATATACTTACTGGTGGTTCGTGAGAATCCAAGATAAAATTATCAGGATTACTGCTTTCTACTTGCAATGTTAAGGTTTCATGTGTAGGATTAGCTAAAGAAATTGTCTGAATGACATACCTAGAAGGAAAAACAAAGTAAACGTTCATAAACTTGTTCAATGTTAATCTTATAAGCCTGATGACTATTATGGGTTCAATTGCGTCCCGTAAAAAGATAAACTGAAGCCCTAACTCCCAGTACCTCAAAGTGTAACCTTATTTGGAAATAAGGTTGTTGCAGATGTTATTAGTTAACATGAGGTCATACTGGCGTAGGGTGGCCCTTACTCCAATATAACTGGTGTCCTCATATGCAGATCATATGAAGAGATGTAAGAAAATGGCCATATGACAATGAAGATGGAGAACTGGAGTGATGCATCCATAAGACAAGGAAAACTGAGGATTGCATGCAAGCACCAGAAGAGCGAAGAGGCAAGGAAAGACCCTCTCCCTTCCTGGCCTCAGAAGAAGCATGGTCCTGCTGAAACCGTGACTTCAATCTTCTAGCCTCCAGAACTGTGAGACAATAAACTTACATTGTCTTAAGCCACCCAGCTTATGGTACTTTTTATGGCAGGCCTATGAAACTCATACCTGTATGAGTTTCAAAATAAGAATCATATGAACTAATGACATTTTGCTAAATTAGATCATCCCTGATTCTCTCTTTTTGACATCACTGGTATTCTACATTGGGTACTGGAACATATCCCAGTTTTAGAAGCAAAGTTTACCAATTATTTTATAACTGCTAAATCCAGACAAAAAATTTAACATTGTCTATAAATAATGACAAAGAGTAATAAACTAACAAAGTTATGCCCGATGCATCAAGAAGATCCAAACTGATGATGAAGGAATAAACCTGCCCCCTAAAATGTGGCTGGTATTTATGGTCAAAGCGAAGAAAAATCAGGAGGCTTCATAATTCTCACTGCATCATCATTTCTAATGCCTTTTGATATACAGCATCAGAACTGGAATCCTGTAGCAAAGCAAATGCAAACCACCCTGAGATATCACCTCACACCTGTTAGGATGACTTTTTTTTTTTTTAAGTAAAATATGTATTGATGAGAATGTGGAGAAAAGGGAACAGTGGCACACTGTTGATGTGAATGTAGATTGGTACAGGCACTATGAAAACCACTATTGTCTAGCCACTGTACACCTGCAACTAATACAAAATAACACTGAATGTAAACTATCATTGGATAGAAAAGACTATCAAAATGGTCTGTAAACATATGACAATGGAGTCAATCTCATTAGTCATGAGGGAAATGTAAAGTAAAAGTACATTGAGGTACCACTTCATACACACCAACATAGTTAAAATTAGTCTTCCAGTACCCATGCTTTTGAGGATGCAAAGCAAACGCAATTCATATAGGACTGGTGGGAGTATAAAAAAGGTACCACCACCGTCAAATTTTTTGTCATTATTGACTAAATGTAAATGATATTATATCCCTAGGTGATACACAATAAGAATGAGCACAAATGTGCAACAAAAACATATACAATGTTATAAACAATGTTTTTCATAATATACCAAATCCGGAAAAAAAAAGGTTTGTCAACAATTAAAAGGAATACTTTTTGGCAGGGAAGAAAGCAAATGGAGACTAGCACACAGAACAACATGGATGGACCCATAAGGCCCAACTATCAATTTAGAGCCTCACATGGAAATATGAGTGAAACAAGCATCAGAGAAAGTTTATAATAGGAAAGAACAAAAACATTAAGACAAAGACCACGCCTTCTTAAAATGACCATTTATACCTTAGGAAATATTAGAGAAAATATTACAACCATGAAATAAGAACAGAACATTTTATTTTTTACAACAAAGGAAATATCTAAATAAAAACAAAATAAAAAAATAATCTTGGATGTTGACAGCTGACATAAAAATAAAATGAAATACTGAAATACAAACTGAGTAAATCTGCCTAAGTGAAAAAACACAAATGTTGAGGGAAATGCAAAAAACAAAACAAGTAAGAACATTAATAAAATAGTCCCCAAGTTCTAAATCTAAAACATAGACATAGGAAGAGAGAAGAGAGAAAATAGCATAATTCAAGATTTCCTGAAAGTCTAAGCCATTTGTTTCCATACTGAAAGAGACCTCAACCGCCTGGAAAACCATATGGAAATAGAGCCACATCAACGTATGAAGAATTGTAAGGAAACTGGGTACAGTGGAAAACAGTGAAAACTTCGAAGAAAATAAGGATCCAAGACAAGGCTGGTTAAAAAAATAATTACTACCAAGTATATTTAAATATTATGTCTTTTAATTATATACCATATGACTTAAGATAAAAACAAATCAAGTTTTTTTTAAAAAAATACTCAAAAATGACAAGAAGCTAAAAAGAAAAAAAAAGCTAGTGCTTTTTAAAAATTTTTAACGTTATTTTTATTATATTTTTCCATTACCATTTATTCCTCCTCTCCCCTCTTCCACCTCCACCGTTCCCCTTACTCCTGCAATCACCGCCCTGTTGTCTGGGTCCATGAGTTCTTTCTCTCTTTTTCTTTTCTGCTCCATCCCCACAACCTACCATCCATTGGAATGAAAAAAAACCCCACAAAACCCATGGTTTTAAAACTGTTTGAACCAAATATTTTCATGAAATTGCCTTACATTAATTAGTAATTATATATATATAGTTTTAATCTATTTAGTGACTAGTATGGGAGTTTAAAAGCCCAGCACCTTGGCATCAAGACAAGACCACCCCTGAGATGTAATTTATGCTCCAGAGCTTTCTGCAGGGTCAGGTAAAGTCTGGGACTGTGCCCGAAATCATACCCTCGCTCAGCGTCTTCTCTTTTTTTATCCTGCTTCCCTCATTCTCTTACTGATTTTTTTTTCTAAATGGGATCACATCCTTAACAAATCACTTGCAGTGATGTTTTGGCTGAAGATCTGGTATTGGGGGTGTTCAACACTCTTTCGGTGTGCTAAGGGAGAGAAGTTAATGAAAAGGCACGGATTTGCCACTAGCAGAAACTGTGACTCGATCATCCTGACGCAGTAGCACCAAACTTGGTGCCAGCCATGTAATGAGAACTCAACCACCTAAATATAAATGGTCATATCTCAAGGGAATATGGTTGTTACCAAGTGACCAAAGTATTCTCAGTTGCCTACTGCTTACCCTCTGCTTTGTCTTGACCAAACTTTAGTCAGCCTTCTCTCTTTCCAACAGCCCCCTGGACTCTGCCTGTCTCTAAGCCTGAGAAAGCACAATAAAAGTAGAACATGCCTCCCTTCTTGGCTTTTCCTGGGAATCAGCTTATCCCAGTGAGATACTTTTCCAATCGGTTCCCACCAGTCATTTTCTCTTCCTTGTTTACCCCTTCCAAAGATGCCACTTAGCTGTCTCTGCTTGTCCCTCCTTTACAGTATAAAGTAAAAAAGCTTCTTCTATTTGACTTTGAGACACTTGCATATTTCTGAAATCAGAGCATTCTCCTTACTGCAACAGCCCCCCCAACTATTTCTATAGTCCCTTTCCCTCTCTTACAATAATCATTTCTAGTAAAAAACGTCTCCTTACTAAGCCCTGACTTGTTTTTCTTTCACGCAAGTATTCCACAGAGTAGTTTAAATATCAAACCTTCCCTGGTAAAAAAAATCAATTGAAAACTTATCCATGTGTTATTTAACAATGTTAAATACATTATAACACTACTCTTTTAGACAAACTTTTTTTCTTTCATAAAATAATTTTATCTACAAAGTAGAACTTACTTTCCAAGGTCACACTGCACTTCTGGCATTGTGGTTGGCTTTGGTAATTCGACAACAAATTTCAGTAAATACCAGAACTCTAGAGCGTTATCAGGCTGAAAAATAATGCTGGTGGCAAGAATATACATATTCTTATCAGTCGTTTTAGTTTGTATAATACATTTGGCAGAAAAAATATCCCAAATATGATTAATGGCTCTGTGACACATTCTACTCTCACTGTAGATGTATTTTTAAATTTTTCATTTTTGGTGAGAAAATCACCTCATTATTCAAGAAAAACAGTGCTCTTATTAATATCTGTTTAACAAAGGCCTGTTAAACAATGAAAAGTGCTTACACCTAAATAATTCAAATACCTTGAATGAGTACACCAAGGAAAGTTTGGCTTTCAACCTGTGGTTAAATCAAACTTAATTTGTTGAATTAAACACATGCATATTTTCCTGTGAAGGCTGTCAAGTGACATGCAGCTCTGGAGAACTTCCTTCATAATCAGCATGTGCTCATCTCTGGCAGGGTGGGGGGTACAGAGACAGAGCAGGTAACAGTCTGTGAGTATAGCTGGGCTGGTATCCCAGCTGTCATCTTTTATTTGTGCAGCCTTGAACAAGTCACCTAACACGCTAGCCTTCAATTGCATCATTTATGAAATGGAAGCGATTATTCCTACTTGTCTCTCATGGTTACTTCAAGAATTTTATGTGCGTATGAATGTAAAATGCATGCCTCAGGAATGATTAACAGAATAAAGCAGTCAGTAAGTATTACCCTAAATTATGTCTTCTAATGTATGCTGATAAAGAAAATTCAATATTCAGTCTAGGTTCACACAGCCTCTACAGGCATACTGGGGAAAGGAGACTAGCCCACATTTATAATGGTAATCTACCAAAATAGCGTCTTTTATAATTTGTTACGTTCTTATTTTCATGTTTCACATTACAAAAATGTTTATCCTACACAATTTCACAAGTATATTTATTTACTTATCATTCATTAAAATAAGAATTATTCTGACTCTGAAAAAGTAACAATAGGCATTTTCATGAAATAATAGAGGTATTTCATTACACATACCAGTACAAAGTCTAGTCTTTATAACTATAATAAATAAGTGGGATATTACTTTGAAACAAATAAAGCTGATTATTTTACTATAAACTAATTAAGGTAATCATGAACATATTACCTTTGTACATGTTAAGTTTTTCATAATTTTCATGCTATAAAAACACTTATCATTGCACTGTCAATATATGTGTATATACTGGTGCATTTTTGTGATGTGTGTGTATATATACACAGACAGTCCCCAGCTTACGATAGTTCAACTTCAATGGTTCAACTTACCATCTTTCAATTTTACAATGGTGTAAAAGCCATATGCATGCAGTCAAATCCGTAAATCTAATTTGGAATTTTGACTTTTTTCTGGGCTACAACTGATATTCTACAATGTATTCACTGTGCTAGATGATTTTGCCCAACTGTAAGCTAATGTAGTGTTCTAAGCACATTTAAGGCCAGACTAAGCTATAATGTTTGATGGGTTAGGTGTATTAAAAGCATTTTCGACTTAGGATACTTTCAATTTACAATGAGTTTATGAGTACATAATCCCATCATAAGTCAAGAAGCATCTGTGTATATAGTCATCATAGTATAACTCTTAATTAATATTCTCTATGTCTTCCAAGAGGATGATCTGTATGTAATTGAGAATAAAAATATAAATTAACTTTATCAAGAAAATGGAAATTTTAACCCCTAATCCTTGTTTAATCATTTTCATTTGACTCAAGTTTTTGTACCTAGAAAAATTTTATTAGTGAAAAGTGGACTGAAAGAAGGTACATAAAGAGCAATTGAGAAATTACTTAATTTTATATCTCAATACATATTTTTGCATTGGAGAAAACAATGCTAACTCTAAATTAGTACATTTTATAAATTAATGGTATTAAACAAAGCTAAAGCTATGAGCAAGTGTAATCTAAATGATTATAGTATGCAAATAATCATTTTAAAAGCTTAATTTAAAAAATCAACAATAAAATATAATGCCATACTGAAAACATACCTTTCTTTTCTACAGCCTGTAGTCGATGGACTATAGCATACAGCATAGTCAACAGAATCTTGTGGATTCATCACAAATTCCTTGAGTCCACTAAGGGCGGGAGTTGAAAATACCACTTCTATGTTAAGACTCATCTCTTTTATATTACAAAGAGGTATTGCAAAACAAACAGTCTCCTAGAATTACAGACCAAACATAATCAGCTCTTAGTGTCTGCATACAGTCATTGTTCTATGGAAGCAAATACAAAGAAAACTGCGATACAATATAAGGCTATTTTCTTTTTCTCCTTGATCCACTACTGAATGTATCTTGTTTGCTTTTAATCTTTTGTTTTCCTTGATTAGTCTTGGTAAATGGTAATGTTTTCTTCAGTAAGTACTCCAAAAGATCTGTCTAGCTAAATGCTAAGGACACTGTAAAATTACGCTTAAAATACGTTTTCCCTCAGTACCATTATTAATGAGGTCCATTTGTCAATTTCCTGTAGCTGTAGTATCAATATTGAAGCTTCAGCATGCACAGGAATCACCTGTAGAAATTGCTAAAGCATACATTATTGGCCCCTTACTCCAAAGATTCTGATTCAGTAGATCTTGGATGTAGCCTAAAAACTTGTATTTCTAAAACATTGTGGCTGTTGCTGCTGATCTAGAGGACAGACTTTAAGTAGCTCTGTACGTTAACATCAAGCAGCAAGGACAATTTGAACTAAGAAGTCAAATTACACTGATGATATGATTCCTTTCCTGTTTAGATTTCTATCTTCTGTTCTGGTTTCTCCTGTCTTGCCTCCCCACCTCCCCACAACCCCCAGCTACACACTCAGCCCTGGAAGGCTCTCTTCAAGTTCCAAGACATTTCCTGATCCTCATTCTGACCCATCCTGGCTAATAACTTATATTTCATCCCATGACAGCCACAATTTCCACTAAAGTAAAAGCTATTAATGGAAGTAAATGCGTCACAAAGTGAATAATAGATAGGACGTATCTCAATCTTAACAAAGATCAGTTGTCTACAATGCTTTAACCTAATGATAAGGAGAATTTTGGACATTCCATCACAATTTAAAAATTGGTAATGGATGTACTTAGTACATGGGGTTATTTTGAAATGTATCAAATCATATTACAGGAGTGACCAAAAAACAAAAAACAAAAAAAAACAAAAAACGTAATATTAAGCTGGTGGGGGCAGGTGGTGATGAGGAGAGAGTTAAGTTATTTACAAAACATATCTTCAAGATACACACTGCAGCTTTGTCCATGGAGCAAACATTTGCTTGATTACCCCAATATAAATAAATGAATGGATAAATGTTACATTCACACACTCTCTGAGCAGGAAAAATTTAATTCACGGAGTATTCACACTGAAAACTTCATACTTCCTACTCCCAATGGATGTGAGTAAATAAAGATTATGCTTTGGTTCATAAAACTTAAATTGCATCAATGGCAATTCAATATGCACTAACAGGAAGTATTTTTCACCATATTGTCTCCCAGAGGATAATCATTGAGTTCATTATAAAAGAATTATTTCTGAGGTCCAAAACACACAATAATATTCATTTAAGTAAGGTATAATATTGAGGAAATCTTCAATTTTTTCTTTATTCAATTTGAAAACATTAGAAAGTCAATAAGTAAACTATCCCAAAGGGTATTTTGAGATGTACCATGTAATTTGGAAGAAGTGATAACTCTAATGTCTCAGTAATTTTTCTAAACTGCCAAGTCAGTGCCAACAGTTTAGAACTCAGAGGAACCACATCTGTAATTATAAATTAGAAACACCACTGTCATTGCTCTGCTACTGCCACCTGAATGTCACTGTACCTACGAAAGTCGTGCTTCCCACCTCCTATTTCCAATCCTTCCCCATTGAACCTGAGATACACGGAGTGCAGAGGTGGGTGTTAATGCCAGATCAGGGGGTGAGCTGGGGATGAGGATGCATTGATACGCACTGAGGAGCTGTGAAAAACCCAGAAACTCCTGTAGCGTCCATAGGTTTGTTCACATGTATTCTGACTTTTCCCATAACCTTGTAGCAGAAAGGGGGGAGTGACTATAAAAGACAGTGGCAATAAAAAGATATCTAATTGCATAAACTGATCCCTAGGAATTACAATCCTGGTTAGCTGTTTAACATAGGTTATAGGAATTCTCTCTCTCTCTCTTTCTCTCTCTCTCCCTCTCTCTCCACACACACACACACACACACACAGATCTAACTATATATCTATAGTATAGCAGCATATGTATTTTGTGATTTAATGTAAAAGAGGCCAGGAGATACTTTTTAAAAGTCCAATTTAAGAATTTTTCACAATTTGTCAAGATAAATTCAAAGCAGAACATTTATTTTTTCCAACCTTAACTTTTCATGAGAAAGATATATTTCAATATCATGCACAACTCTCATTTTATGATTGTTCACCCAGAAAAAAACAAATATAAAGGAAAGAAAAAAATACATAACAAAATGAGTACCTGAAAATATATGTTTCATATTATGAAAGCTAAAATTTTAAATTAAAACCTTATTGAAAATGGCTGGCAACTCATATACATTGTTTTGTATTAATGTTTTTATATTTGACACCATTGGGATGAACAGTATCTATGCTCCTTCCTCTCTTACTAGCTTGTGGGGAGATTTCTTTGTCTCACCATTAACAATAGAGTGAATTTAATTGAGAGTTGACTACAGAATGCAAAAAATAAGTAAAGAAACAGTCATGCAATTATCATTGACAACACATCAAATATTTTGAAGGCTATCACTGACCTAAAACTTAAAGCATATAAAATTTTGCTCACACACTTAAGTTTTATTTTCAGAAAATATAGCTCGCTGATATGATATATACTGGGATTATTGTCAGTGGAAAAATGGTGGCTACACTCATCATTCTCCACTACATGACATACAAGAGATTTTCCTAGTGCAAACAAAATGGAACAGCAGATATTACATGTTAAAATTTCCAAGAAAATCCTAAATACTTCACCCCAACAGAAAATGAATTACTACTAAAACAAATTTATGAGCCGTGAGGGTCTATTTTTTTACACAAACCTTATCGTAGAGAGATTCTAACCATTCTTTCATCTCTAGAGAAAATGTGGAAATTGGGTTCAATGCAACAATAGCTGAGAAGCAGATAGAAAATCAGAGATGGCTTAGTATCCTGAAAGCTCCTTTGCCACATCTGATGATTTAAGGTTTAAGTAAAATATGTCTCAAAAGTCTTGCAAAAAAGCAACTGTAGTCAATACATTAGGGAACAATATACAGGTAAGGATAACAGTTTTAATGTACTTCAGAAAGTATTCAGAAAACATTTTCTTCAAGAAGCACAAAGGTTTATTTGATGGCACTATTTAAAATAACCCATACTATCTCTACCAATTAAATCTTCATGTCCATGAATCAGTAGCTCCTAAATTTGTACCTTAGGCAATTACTATTAGAAAGGTGGGAAAGCTTACTATCTTGACAAAAGTATCATTGTTATTGGTAGCCTACATGGATAGAGTTAGTGGAAAAAGACTCTACTTCTCCATCAAACTCAGTTGAAAGTGAACATTTAATTAGTACAGAGTATCTGACTATAGTGACAAAGAGAGCCATGTAGCAGCTGATGGTGCTAAGTTTTGCTCCTGTATTGTAATGTAAAACTACTCAGTAGAACAGGGGCTCAAAACTTGCATTTTCAAGTAGACCTTGAGAGGAAATTATTTCAATGTCTTTCTGAGATAACCATGTTAACTATTCACAATGAAAAAGAAAAGCCATAGTATAATTAATAATAATCTGAAATAATATACAAATAAGAAAAGTTATAGGTATCCTACTGCGGTATTAAATTAGGATTAAATAATAATAATGGAATTTATTGCATGGGGAGGGGAAAGTCCTTTATGAAAAATGGAGAAGGGCCCACTTGAAAGTACATTATTCATGAAAACAATATATTCCCAAAAGGGTATATACAAATCTTAATTTAAAAAATGGAAACATACTTAAGTGCATTAAAAGAGGCAGGATAATGTCTTAAGTACATTAATGTCCCTTTTGCTTTTTGCTCAGTCTTCTTACGTTTCCACATAAAGTGCCCTTATAGTGCATGATTCTCAGCCTGTGTGACAATCTTCACCATACAGAGTTGAGAGTTATAAAAATCTCAATTTCTACCAATATATTCTTGAGGTAAAGGTTAATAACTCTTTCCCCAAAAAGGGGCACTTTATGTACCACTTAATGAGAAGATGCAACAGTCACTTGTAATTTTATAGTTGCATCTATATTTGCTAGTTTGTGTTGCATATTTCTACTCATCTCTAACTCTATTTTAAACACATGGTTAATGAGAAAGCCGATGTCTTTTCCTTTTTGAGGTGCCACCTCATGGTCCCAATTTCTCCTGGACCCATGTTTAAAAATTTTTTCTCCTCTGTCTTGATAAAACGATGACTTTTAATCTAGAAATCATTTCCTACAGCAAGTGGTTTCATAATTAAAGTTATGTCATTTAAAAATAACCTTCTTTCTTTCTGCTGCAATAGTATTCCATTGTGTAACTGTACCACAGTTTTTTGATCCACTCATTTACTAGTGGGCACTTGGGCTGTTTCCAGCACTTGGCTATAGCTTTCGCAACAGCATTGCGTGGAACTGGAGAGTATTATGCTAAATGAAATAAGCCAGGCAGCAAAAGAAAAATACCATATGATCTCACCTATAACAGGAAGCTAATCAAGAAAACAAATGAGCAACATAGAACCAGAGGCATGGAAACAAGGAACAAACTGACAGGGACCAGAGAGGAGGAGGAAGGGGGAGGAGGATAAGGGAGAAAAGAAGGGGAAGCAGCTAGTTAAAGAACAAGTACATGTGACCCATGGACATGGATAATAGATTGACTGCAGGTGGGGGGGGGTTGTTGAGTGGGGCAGGGGAGAGCAATGGGGGAAAAATTGGAACAACTGTAATAGAACAACAATAGCAAATTTAAAAAATAAAAATTAACTATAATTTTTTTCAAATAACCTTTAAGAAAGATTTTATTCTGCAGTGGTAACAGGGTTACAGAAATAGGACATTTTCATTGAGTGAAAAGATCCTACCATCATCATATTAAGTGATTTTCCACTTAGTAGAAGAGATTGCTTTTGTGATCTACACTTGAGTGCATTTCAATAATTTCATCATCCATTTTCTATGCCTCAATGGAAATATACCCAGAAATCAGATGAGCAAATAATTGATTTATAGACAAAGTTTTTTTAAGTCTTATATTCTTTTCTTATATTCTATGTGATGGAGCAAAAGTTCAACATTCCAAGTTATCAATCTTACAAAGAAATCTATCTTCACATTAAAAAATGAAAATAACCTTTACCATGGGTTTAAATATTTGAGTACTAACAATAAGGAAATTTAACTGAATGTAAACATAATTAATGGCAATTAATACTATCTTCATGTTTAATTTAAAACAAGACTCTCAATATTTGACTCTTAAACAATCCTGGACATGGAAACACTTTAATAATTCACATTTTATCATACGCTGCTTTTATCATACGCGTGAGGGCAGGCATGAAGGTGAAGGTGAAGTCTGCCCTAGTAACTCTTGAAACATCCAGGTAGAATGTTAATTAGTGCAGCTACTATAAGGTACCATAGAACTAAAAAATCTTTTCCATAAGCTTTCAAGGTACACGTGACTGGATTTAAAAATAAAATGGCTATAATTTGAATAATTTATCCAAATATGAGTAATTAATATGCATATTTTTAGGGACAGAAGTTTAAATGTACAACAAAAAGCTCTGTCTGCAAAAAGGCAAACTCTATGAACATTTAATGGGTTCTTACCATAGCAACACATTGTATTTCAATAATGTTTACAGGTTCCTCAGGATGGATATGGATCTCAAGATCATACCAGAGTCGTAAATTTCCATTGCCTGGAGAAAAAAAAAGGCATTTCTTAATATAGGTTTCCAAATACTATACTTAACAGAAAAATTTGAGAAACATGAACAGATACCATTCTCAAACTCTTTTCGATGGACTCATTTGTGGACAGTGGCGAGGGGAGGGGAACAAGGCGATTTCATCACCATTTGGGAGCATTAAGAGAAGTTCTACCGTGGATGGCCACCCACAAGCATGCCCAGTAAAGGCTCCCTGCCTGGCGTCTGCCCCAGTAACTTTCATTCCCTCCTAAAATAAACTTATGGATGTTTTACTTAAGGATTAATACTTCAACAGAAATAATCAGACCATTTTCACCATAATTGCCAAAGCACTCACATACTGTATGTGGAAATGTCCAAATACGGCATTACAATTCACAATGGTACATTTTCAGTATGCTAAGAATCTAGCCTAGAGACAAATTCAGGAACACTTCAAGAGATTTCTGGTTTCTTGGGACAGTAAAATGGATCCTAGCAATTTAACCCAAAGAAAGCTGCAATGGGATATGGACCAAGTGGAGAGAAAGTTATGTTTATTATTGGCTAGCCAATATTGTTTAAAAGCAGGTATTTCTGTTGCTGGTAATGTCTAAAGTCACACTTTTAAACTCAGAAACCAGAACCCCGGTCTACCACAACAGCCCAGAGTAACAGGGTTTGTAACAGCATCAAACCCAGTTCTTTCCATTTGTTCTCATCTGTTCAGCTTCTCACTTTGATATTCTTTATTCTTCAGCATTAACCTAGTTTGCAGTTTGAAATGTCCTAAAGTATCAGTTAACTGTATGCATTGTCATAACAGTACTGCCATGTTTTAAAGATTTCAAGAAATGATATGTTTGACTCAATTACTTAGATAAATCACTAGCCTCTTTGGGCTTTAGTTTCCTCACCTATAAGATAAGAGGCCCAGGCTAGTGGAATTCTCAGTGTGTCTCTCTTCTGAGAGAGTGTATTGTTTTGGATTGCATTGCATTATATTGTACTGTACTGTATTGTATTATATTGTAAGGCACTGTAAAGCATTGAATGCCATTGTAGTATAGTGTAGTATATGGCATTGTATCTTCTTATACGGTATTTCACTCTTTTGTATCATATTGTATTGCATTATATTGTGTATTGACCTATTCTAATACTTTAGCTATCAAGAAGCACATACGAAATTAGTAGAGGCGAGAACATTTCAGACATTCAGAGCAATCATCTAGTAAAAAGGAGACGAGTGATCCAGGTGAGCACTTATTATAAATGTCTGTGAGAAGCTCTTGAAGAAAAACTCACCTCCACATTTTGAATTGCTTCCTGTGCTTATTTATTTCATGGACCCCAATTAATTACCTTAAAACCATTAATGTACAAAGAATAAGTTACCAAATTTATATTGATGTGAGGTTACTGAGAAAACCATTGGTCATGGCTATACTGGCTGCTCCTTCAATTTTATGAAAGGACTTGAAATGCTTTTAAAGCATTTTTAAATGTGACATCTCACAACAAACCAAATTTCTTAAAATGGAAAGTCTTTCCCTTTCTAGCTCATGTATGTTTTATGGATGTTTCCAGTGCTTTAGTCCACATTGGACTCACAGAGAAAATAATTCTGAAAATGAAGGGTATCTGTAACTAAAAAGATTGAATGCTCCATGACTCTACATTAGTACAAACAGCAGTAAAATAGTCTGCCCATCTGTGGAGACTGTATCACTTGGGGGTGCGTGTGTGTGTGTGTGTACTGTATTTGTCAGGGGGGTGTGTGGGGGAGGCATGTGTGTGTGTACTATATTAGTCGGGGTGTGTGTGGGGGGCATGTGTGTGTGTACTATATTAGTCGGTGTGTGTGTGTGTGTGTGTGTACTATATTAGTCGGGGTGTGTGTGTGTGTGTGCATGCGTGCGTGCGTGCGTGTGTGTGTGTGTGTGTACTTTTTGGAATTTAAGCTCATTTAACTGACTTAGAAAGTCCAAAAATCTGTAGGATAAGCCAGCAGTCTGGAGACTTAAGGAAGAGTTGTAGTTCAAGCCTGACAGAATTCCTTCTGGTTCAGGGGAGGTCAGCCTTTGTTTCATAATGACCTTCAACTTATTGGATAAGGCCCAGGCACATTATGGAGGACAATCTGCTTTAGTTATAGTACACAGATTAAATGTATTTCTCATCTAAAATCACCTTCATAGAAACATCCAGAATAATGTCTAGCCTAATATCTGGGCACCATGGCCCAGCCAAGTTGACACATAAAATTAACTATCTCAAGGACAATGATACCTAATATTTGTAATTGCTGTGACACTCACATAAAGCAATGTTGTGATGAAGATGATTTAATTCCTACAGTGCTAAAAATGTACATCAAATATGAATTCATTGGTTAGAGTGAGATTAGTGATGATTTATTAATGTGAAAAACAACAAAAATAATAATAAATAAATGTTTAACTGCAGGGCTTAGGTATGCTAAAACTTTTTTTCTAATTATAAAATCAGTAACATTTATTATAGTATTTTGAGAAATTCAAGAAAAGCTTAAAGAACATGGATATGATTCACCATCTCATAACCAAGAGTACACTACTTCATTTTTATGTATAAAATTCCAGGCTTCATACATCAATAAAGATACACACACACACACACACACAGATGTACATATTACATATAACTGATATGTCCATATATGTGTGCATACTCTTTTCTATCATTCACAGACTATTCACTATTAAAATTTAAGTTTCATCACTAGTCATTAGGGAAATGCAAATTAAAACCACAATGCAGTATCACCTCATACCTGTTAAATGGTCATTAATGAAAAGACAATAACAACAAATGCTGGTATGGATGCGGAGGAAAAAAAAACTTACGCACTGTTGGTAAGATTGTAAATTGTACAGTCACTATGGAAAACAGTACGGAGGATCCTCAAAAAATTAAAAATGGAACTACCATGTGATCCAGCAATTGTACTTCTGGGAACATTTCCAAAGGGAACCAAAACACTAACTCAAAAAGATAATCTGCGCTCCCATGTTCATCGCAGCTTTATTTACAACAGCTAAGACATGGAAACAACCGAAGTGCCCATTGACAAATGAATGGATAAAGAAGTTGTGGCATATTCAAACAACAGAATATTGTTCAGCCATTAAAAAAAAAAGTAGAAAAAAAAAGACCCCAAGGAAATCCTATGATTTGCGACAAGGAAAATAGACCTTGAAGGCATTATGCTAAATAAATTAAGTCACACAGAGAAAGACAAATATCTAAAAGACAAGCAAGCAAACAAAAAGCCCACAACACTCACAGAAAAAGAGATCAAACCTGTGGTTTCCAGAGGTAGAGGGTGGGAAAAATGGACAGAGGTGGTCAAAAGTACAAACTTTCAATTATAAGATAAACAAGTACTAGGGATGTAATGTACAACATGATGACTGTAGTTAACACTGATGTATGACATATAGGAAAGTTGTTAAGAGAGTAAGCCCAAAGAGTTCTAAACACACGGGGAAATTTTTTTTCCTCTGTTCCTTTCTTTATTTTCTTTTTATTGTATCTACATGAGAAGAGGAATTTTAGTGGAGCCTACTGTGGTAATCATTTCACAATACATGCAGTCCGTCAAACCATCATGCTTTATGCTTTCAACTTATACAGTGTTATATGTCAATTATTTCTCAATAAAACTACAGAGACATTTATGTGCAGATACTACCTATTTAAAATAAAATTTAAAAATTAAAAAGTTTCAATTATTCAGCATAATAAATTATATAAGAAACATTCTTTTTAAAAAATTGACTTGAGAAAGAGAGATGGAGGAAAGGGGGAGAGACAGAGACAGAGAGAGGGAAAGAAACATTTTGTTGTTCCACTTATTGATGCATTCATTGGTTGCTTCTTGTATGTGTCCTGATGGAGCTCGAACCCACAACCTTGATGTATCAGGACAATGCTCCAACCAAATGCGCTACCTGGCCAGGGCCATAAGGAACATCTTTATATAAAAATATTTGTGCATATCTTTAATTATTTTATTCCAAAAAGTTTCTTGGACCGAAACGATTGGATCAAAGAGGATAAGCAACTCTTACAAGTTTTAAACATATTGTAAATGCTCTCTTCAGATTTTTATAAATTGAAATTCCCATTGCAATGTATAAGATGACCTCTTTAGGCCTGCCCATCATCAATAACTGGGTGTTACCATTATTTTTCATATTTCCTTATTTGTAAGGTTAAACAATTCTTATTTAATTATTTTCATTTCTTTTTTTGTCCCAGCTTTATTGAGGTATAACTGATTTAAAAATTGTATGTATTTAAGTCATACCACTAGATTTGATACACATTTTGAAATGATCACCATATTCAAATTAATTAAGATATTCATCATCTTACAATGTTACCATTTTTTAGCTGGGGGAGGTCAAAATACATAAGATCTACCTTCTAAGCAAATTTCAAGCATACACTTTCATAGCGTTAGCTACAGTCACATTGTTGTACATCATATCTTCAGAACTTACTACTCATTTTGCATAACTGAAACTTCCCTAACTACAAAGTAATAGACTGCTGAGCAATTTATAAGAAAGATACCCATGTTATCACAGGCAATAGAAAGGCTAATCGTGTCCGAATAGTGATATGGGAAGGCCTGTCTGAAGAACTAGGGAGAACTGTAATGTTACTAGATGCATTTTTCCTAGGTCTTCATCTACCTTGTAACCTGTCATCCCGCAGCTTAGACTGTTAAAATTAGATAGCATTCCATTTGAGTCCATTAACGTGACAGGACAATATTCTGATTTTCTTTTGAACTCTTCTAAGCACTTTTAGCTCGTTTTCCTTCATGGTTCTTCTGCCTTAGATTTTGATAAGGGTTTAACTCTTAGCATAATCCATTTACAAGAGGCTTCTGTTCTTTGCCTCTCCTGCATGATTTCAACTGAAGAAACCTTTTTCACCTTGCCTTAGCTCAAAATATTCAATTGATGACTGAATATTGCCATGTAAATGGCTGACTATCACATTAACATCAGGAAACACAAAACTGTGCTAAGCATTATAATCTCCCAGACTTATTTATTCTTGTTGAGTTTCACTAAACTAATCCATTATATTATTGCCTCTGTGTGTATTTTGTGTGGCCAATAAGCCTGCAGGGGCATTGAAGTAACACTAGCTGCTCCCACAAGTATATACCCTAGAAAACAGCCCAGCTTCTAATATGAGTCCCACAACCATCCACGTGCTAAGTACTCTCCTCCGCCTCCCGGGACCTTCTCCTTGTGTGCTCATTAGATAGGACCTCCTATGAAGCTTACCAAAACACCACTCTTTTTGGTTTGAATTGACTAATCTGGCTTTGTAATTTTTCTAAAAAAAATATTTTATTGATTCATTTTAAAAGAGAAGGGAAGGGAGGGAGAACGAGAGAGAGGGAAACATCAATGTGAGAGAGAAGCATCGAACAGCTGCCTCTCGAAAGCACCCCAACCTGAGACCAGGCCCACAATGTAGGCATGTGCCCTGACTGGGAATCGAACCGGCAACCTTTTGCATCGTAGGAGAACGCTCAGTCAACTGAGACATGCCAGCCAGGGCTCCACCAATCTGGCTTCAGCCCAGGAACCCCAAAGCATTCCATCCAAAGACCTTAATAAAGGCACGTGCCCAGGTCCTCCCTCCCTCTCTGCTTGCACCCTGCCTAGATCTCCCCTTGTGGCCCCCAGAGGCCTCTAGAGTAGCCCTCCAGGACCTGTGATAACAAACTTCTCTATTTTACTTTCCCTTGCAGTCTTCTGTTGAACTCTGACTCACCACCATCTGACACTCCAGGCTCTACTTAACAAGTGTTAATTTAACAAAGTCAAAACACTTCTCAATTTACATCTTAGTATTTTTCTACTCACCAAGCTACAAACTTTGTTATATTTTGGAATCAACCCTTTCTTTCTCTTTTTCTCAAGAGAGTCATCTAATACTAGTTTCTAAAATGTTTTCCATGTTCAGAGGTATTTCTCTATCCACAACACTACCATAAAAGGCATTGTTCTTGTCACTTCAAACACCATTTGCTGTTGCAGCAGCTTCCCTGGCTCTAACTACTTTTCCCTTTCAAAGCCTAAATATTAGAATATTCCCTGAATATCATTCTTAATCCATGTACTCTGTGATCGGTAATTGTATGTGACAACTTGACCAGGCTATAGTGTCCAGCTGTTTGGTTAAACACCAGTCTAGATGCTGCTGTGAAAGTATTTTTTTTAATGTGATGAAATCTTGCATCAATAGACTTAAAGGCGATTACCCTGCATAACTTGGGTGGGCCTCCTCCATTCAGCTGGAGGTCCTCAGAGCAAAACTAAGGTTACCCAAAGAAGGAGCAATTCTTAGTTAAGACTGTACCATGGCAAACCTGTCTGAACTTGCAGCCTGCCTGGTGCGGAATTTGGACACGATACTACAGCAGCAACTCTGACCTAATTTTCCACCCTGCTCGTTTGCCCTACAGATGTTGGAATTGCCAGTCTCCACAATCATGTAAGCAAATTCCCTAAAATCTCTATATTTATAATACATTGCATTGCATTACATTACAATATTATGGTGGTATCTGTCTCTCTGAAGAATCTGACTAAATACAATTCATTTAATAAAGATTTCTTCCTTGGGATACCTTTGTCGCCACAACTTTGCTCCCGTTGACCTACTCTTCTCTAATGCCCTCTTAAATCCCTGCTGCTACTCACACATCAGGAAACTCATTCTCCCCATTCTCTAGGAAGTCCATCCTATTCCCACACTCTACTATCTCATTTTCTCTTTAATTCCTACTAAAAATATGATGTTTAATAGCATGCAAATAAAGTTTTATAATATAGGGAGGGGAAACAAGAGCATTTACTTTCTTTTCCATGAGGAAAATTGTTATCACATCTTATGTTGAAGAAAAGCATATTACACTGTTAAAATAATACACTCATTACTATTTTATCAGAAATGCATTGCTGTTTTTTGCTCAATAACAGAAATACAAAGTTTTTCACTTGTGAAAGAGTAGGCAGCCTTCAGGCTAAAGGATTAAAATCTATGAATGTTAATAGTAAAACTAATCTAGACATTAAACTACATAAACTTAATACCGAAATAATACAAATAAAATTCTGACAAATATATGCAACTTACATTCGTATATGTATTATGAAAGTAAAGTATCTATCTACTCATAAACCAGTTTATGAATACCAATCATGAAACTCTCCACAATAATAAATTTACCTGATTCTTCCTTATCAGGCTCGCGGTATAGTTTTGGCATTGCTTTCTGAGGAATAGGTACTAAAAATTGATTTTGACTTTGTTTTTGCTCTTGATCTTGATTTTTATCTGAGTCATTGTCAGAATCATCATGTTCACTGCTTTTAATGAAAAATGAAAGTTTACCTACAACACATAAGTACAAGATGTCAGATCAATCAGGGATTTGTTTTCTAAAATGAAAGATCAGTTTCAGATATTAAGCTTGCTCTAGCTGAAACTAATAAAAGCAAAGTCAAACATAAATTCTAGATTTTCATATCATAATTAAATCTGATAGTGATACAGAACAATTCAGTGGGAAGTTCAAGAAAAATTTTTTGAAATCTCCATTAAAATGATAATTTTTAAATAGCTTTCTTATGATAATTATGAAAATGTGGCAAATAATAGAACTGTATTAGCTTTCAGAAAACTAAATGAGTGGAGGGTGGTTCAACATACAAAAACCAATCAGTGTAACATACCACATTAACAGGTGGAAGGAAATAAAAAACATGATCATCTAATCTGATGAATAAGAAGTATTTGATGAAATTCAATAGCTTTTCATGATTAAAAAAAAAAAGAAATAGGAGAGAACTTCTTCAAAATGATAAAGGCCATATATGAGAAGCCCACAGCTAATATTATACTCAACAGTGAAAAACTGAAAACATTTTCTTTGAGATTGGTACAAGGATGTCTGGTTTTGTCATTTCTATCCAACATAGGTCTGGTATTTCTAAAGAGAGCAATTATGCAAGGTGTAGTAGTAAAGACATCCAAATTGGAAAGTAAGAAGTAAAATCAACTCTGTTTGCAGATGACACAATCTTGTATGTAGAAAATTTTAACAATTCTACACAAAAAAGTTAGAATAAATGCATTCAGTAATATAATATGCAGGATATAAAATCAACACACAAAACAAGTTAAATTCCTATATATTAGCAATGAACAATTTGAAAGGAAACTAAAAAAACAATTCTGTTAAATAAAACTGTTATTTAGATAAACCTGCATATGTTAAACAATATGTGTGCACAGAATAATAAGGAAACCTAGTCAATACTTCAAATACTAAGAAATACTCTCAAGAATTAAAAGTACACATTTTTTATTGTTTCTCATTTCAGTCCATTTATTTACTCAGAATATTTTTTCCCTCCTTCAACAATGTTATTACATTTTTATTATTCCTTAACAAAGAGAAATTGGACAAGCATTTGTAAAACAATTCAAAAGCCCTATATGAGTATAACGAGACCATATATTACAGACCAAAATGAGAAATTAAATATGTATCTTTAAAAAAAGGAAATGGATGATGAGAACTATGGAAGCAATTGCAGGTCTATTTAGTAGCTTATATTTTTATTGAAAAGACACTTAAAAAATGCACCTTAGTCAGAATGAGCCACTAATTTTTACTTAATGTTTTCTTGAGAAAAAAACATTTTTCTTGCCAATGGAATTTTAATATTATTTCTAAACAATGACATTTCTAAATTGCATCTGTATGTTCAGTTATAAATTAGCTACAGCAGAAGATACAAGCAGTCAAATTCTTTTTTAAAAAATAACATTCGACTCGGCAACCTGAGTCTAATAAACCAGCCATGAACTGTCAAGCCAAATGCAGTAAATACTGCCTATGATAAGAATGTGTTTCAAAAACTACTTTTTTCACAGTATATGTACATGTGACTACTATGCTCCCTATACTCCTCTGTTCTGGCCAACCGATCCAAAAGGGAACAAAAGTAAATAAAAGCTTGATTGTTGGTGCTTGAGTTTGTCAGAGTGACAGGAAAATTAGTAGATGACTTTGGAAACACTATACATACAACAAGAATAATAGTAGTGAACAAAAGCAGCTAAGACACAGCATCATTGATTTAATGAAGATTCTCAGTTTGTCTGAAGAGTTACCAAAAAATCTAATAGGAATAATAATTATAGCAATTATACTTTCAATAGCATAAGCTTGTATTTTGACAAATGGAGTTTTTTTTTTATCTGCTAAACACTCTAAATGGTTGACTTCTCCAAATGCTCTTTTAACAATAAAATAAACACTTTTCAGTATCCAGGTCATCTCTGAAATTAAGAATTGTTTTTTTCTAATTTCACAGTGTTTTGTGAAATGTGACTATCAGACTCAAGTTTAAAGACTGAGCAGTGCTATTTTTATATTAATGGTTTTTCTTTGGCAAATGAAAAACCATTTACTGAATGCCCATTCTATGTTCGGTGTATGCTAAATGCCTTTCATCCATTATCTATTTAACTCCTTTCATAGACATTAGTTAATTGATGATTAGACTTATTTTAAAGCTGAGTAACCTAGGCTGTAAAGAAGGTGGGTAACTGACTCTACGCTACACAGGTAATTAGTGGTGAGGGCATATATATATTTCTCTGACATAGAGTACGGGAAATTGTACATTAAGTCATGTCTAAATATCACTAAATATACCATAGAATAGGTGGATTTCTGATTGGCAAAATAGCAAAATAACTCACATGCTTCCAAAACATTTATTTTAATCTAAAGTGATAGGTCTAAAGTGATACTGCTCAATGATCACCTGAACTATTTGATCCCTTAGAAAACCTCCTAAAGAAAGTTTCTGTGGCAACAGTTAAACCTGGTAAAGATTTGACCTCTTTGCACTTGGTTCCCTCATACCCACCCTGTTCCTTGCACTGGGTTCATAGTGAATGAGGAACACTGTTAGGGAAAATATCTGTAGGGCTGAGCTTTTGTTAACTTGTAAATTTCTTGGAGCCACATCTGTTCCATCAAAAAGTTTTTTCATAAGTATTTGGTCTATGCACATTATATTACACATGATCAAATGAATTTTCACTGTTTTGTTTCTCTAATATACTACCCTATAAAATCTGAGTAGCAAGACTAAAGATGAAAGTCTAAGGAATCTTTTTCTAACCTCCCTCTTACCTCTATCTTTTTATTTCTTTAACCTTAATTCTAAGGTTAAACTCACTTTCTTTTGCTTTATTTCCCTTTCCAAGGCAAGGAAGAAAAACAAAATTATGTTCAGGGGTGTCTGACCTGCATCCTGCAGGCTGCATGCAGTCCAGAATGGCTGTGAATGTGGCCCAAAACAAAATCATTAATTTACTTAAAACATTAGGAGATTTTTTTTTGTGATTATGTACCACAATGTATTTCAGGTGTGGCCCAAGACAACTCTTCTTCTTTCAGTGTGGCCGAGGGATGCCAAAAGGTTGGGACACCCCTGACTGTAAATGATAAAGAACAGCAAAGAAAACAAAATAAAATAAAATAACCCCAGAGCTGTGGCCACATTTGTCTTTATTCTATGTATTATACAGCTCATCTCCCATTCTTTTTAACCTCCTAAGTTTTATGATAAAATGTACACAATTGACCCTTGAAAACCACAGGGATTTGGAGTGCTGATCTCCTGAGCAGACAAAAATCCAAGCAAGAGGGGAGGGAAGAGGAGGAGGAGAGATATAAAAGTTTTATCTTCTCAGTAACAATGCCATCTATATCTTGGGTAGTGTAAATTTCCCATATAAAGATTTTAACGAGAATATCATAGGTGGATTAATCAGCCGCTAGAGCCTTCTTCCAAAACCAACCTGAATTTATATTCAGTAGAGCAACTACAGCCTGCCTTGCACTCCCAGGGAGAACTACCATACATTCAAGAATTTCAAGTGTGCTCTGTGCTGATTAAATGTGGGCTTCATGGCAAACAATGGAATCGCATGCACGCCTTCCTCCAGCTTAACAGAGCATATGCAGTTTTCTAATGCTTGCTTTCCTCCAAGTTCGTAAATCTTGCTTGACTGCACTCCTATTATGGCACTAATAAGTAATTTTTAAAAATATTTTAGAAAAAATTTTAGTTTTGTAATGTATTGCTTCTTCCACTCAATACTGACTGCATACCTGCTGCTAAATGCCAGGTGCTTGTCTGGAGGCCAGTGCAGGCCTAGCAGTTAAAGGGCAGATTGCCTTTGCATAAAGGCAGAAAATGCAGTATACGTCATCACTCACTGATCTGTTGACGTGAATGAATTTATCTTCTGGCAACCATGAGTGCGATGTGAGAAAAGAATGAATACTTATTTTGATTCAGGGGTCAGGGGCAGGAAGAAAAGGTCTAGAGCTCGCAAGCCCTCAAGGGTAACACCATGCAGGTGGCTAAAGCTGAGAGGAAACATCAGAGTGTAGGCTACCTGGGAAAGCAGAGAGGGGAAAAGCAAAGAGAAGAGCTCAAAGCAGCATGAGAGGAGCCAAGCAAAACTAATTTGTTCTCTCCACAGTGTCTCAAGGCCCTGCTTTTGCAAATCATTTCGTTCACCTAAAAGAGAATGAAGGGAAGGGGAAAGTCAAGGAACATATAGCAAGGACTCATGGACAAAACCAAAGGGGAAGAGCTGAGGGAGGGAAGGTGGGAGGGGGCAAGGGAAAGAGGTGGGGGGAAGGCAGAGACAAATGTATTTAAAAAGTAAATAAATTAATTAAAAATAAAAATAAAAAAAATAAAAGAGAATGAAAATGCTTTACAGCCACCAATACTTATTTTGAAAGACCAGTGGCATCTGACTGGTTTTTATTCCACTACAACTAGGTGGCAGTCCACCATGCTGGTGGGGATAAGCCAGCAAGCTGCAAACTTAGTTTCAGCCAAGATTTTGATGGCACCCTCCCTGGCATTTTCATTGAGACAAACCAGGACAGAGTGGAGACAAAAGAAGCCGCAAATCTCCCCCATATTCCCCTATCATGTTAGGGAATTTTTTAAAAATGGGAGTTAGCGTACTAAATAAGAGTCATAAACATTGAGTACCTACTAGATAAGCACTTTTCATATATTCCTATTGCCCATAACAACCCTGAAAGGTTAGATATCTGCTACATTTTACATGTAAGAAATCTGATATTCACTAAAGTTAGCTGTATTACCAAAGTCACAAAACCAGATTATGATATAATTAGAGGTTGAAGTCCTGTTTGACTTCTGAATGTCTTCCCCTGCAGCCTAGTAACAGTGAAAAAGGAAATAGCAAAGTAAAAAATGTACAGTTTTGCCATTGCAATGTGGTGGTTTGCATGGATATACTGCCCAAGCTTTAAATGA